ATGTTAAATGTATATTTTTATAGTAACTTATATTTAAATGTTAGTATTATTTTAATATTTAATTTTTATCACAACATTTCAAATATAGAGTAACAATTTAAATAAAGCATTATTCAACCTTTAAGTGAAGGGTTTTTATGTTTGAAAACCTTATGAAAAATAGAAGGCAATAAAACAATGAAAATTCTATATAAAAAATAAAAATTTCTTTAAGGAAGGCTTAGTTTTTTAATTTACTAATTTTGTGGAGAAAGGAGATGAGCAAAAGTTGCCTAAGATGGAGGTTAGTTGTAGGTCAAAGTCAAAACCCCAACCCATAAATTGCAACCAAAACCGAAAAATCCACCCCAAAAAGAGAAACCCCCTCAGCCCACAGATAGAAGAAAGGAGAAAAGCCTCCTTCCTCATGGTTTCCCTACGCGAGATTAGATGAAAATAACCATTAACAAACTCTTCCTTCTTCTCAATCTCCCCTCAGATCTACCATTTAACTCCTTTTAATCCTCTCAAACATTCCAAAATTTTCCACAACATTTATTGTCTTCAATTCTTTGAGTCTTCTTTTTATGATGATGATGGGTCTTTTCTTTGATAAGCTTGTGACTGGAAGATCCTTCTTCTTTGTTTCTCAAGGTATGTAGGAAAGTTTCTCTGTTAGAGGTTTCAGTTTATATGATTTTTTGATTTGGGTGTTTTTGTTTGGTATCAACTATCAATCTCTGTGTTATACGTTTCCAGGGCATGCGTCAATACCTTTTTTTTTTTTTTAGCACATGTTGATGGGTGTCTGCAATATTGTACTGTTTACTGCATGCCCATCAATTTGTTTTACTTGTAATTCATCTAGAGGCTGCAAATATGGAATCTTTATCATTGTCTCTTGTTCATATCTTGCAATTTGAAGGAAGGTGTCTGTTGGGTGTTGATTTGGTTGTTTTTTAATATGTGGATGAATTGATGGTCTCTTCATTTTGTTGTTTTTACCTCATATTCAGAGCAGTTTGTGCAAAACTATGATTCCTGTCACTCACTCAGAAACTTTTATTAATGCAGCTTATGAGGTGAATATACTAACTTGTTAATGTTGCTGTAAATGCAGATTCATGTTGGCTGCATTTATCAATTTGTGCTTGATTTCTGAAAATTCTATTGTGGGGTGGGAAATTTGGCAGAAAGCAGAGCAGATTATTAGGGTTGATAGAGTTAGTGATATCCATTTTATGAATAATATTGCTGGGTCATTTGGGTGAGAATATGTGAGTTATGGTTTCAACAAGTTTTATGAGGATTGTCTCACCCTGTTGGAGGCCTTTAGCTGATGGTGAAAATTCTAGTAGATGTGTGGATGATGGTCGTGTTGATGGATTGTCATGGTACAAAGATTCAGGACAACATGTTGGTGGACAGTTTTCAATGGCAGTAATTCAAGCTAATAGTCTTTTGGAAGACCAGAGCCAACTTGAATCAGGTCCATTGAGCTCACTAGAATCAGGGCCTTATGGAACATTCGTAGGAATTTATGATGGCCATGGAGGTCCAGAAGCTTCCCAGTTCATAAATGAACACCTTTTTGACCACATCAAGAGTATGTTATTCTTTCTCTTGTTTGCTGATTCATATCCTACAGATGTGCTGTGATTGCTTTCATCATGCCAATCCTTTTAGTGGTTATTTGGTTACTAACTGATGTTTGACATCTTGGAGAATCTCACATTCTTATTGTCTCTAACTTTTACTTGAAAAATGAAAAAAAAATGAAAGGATGATGTTTGATAATTCCGTGCTACTTGGACTTCTATTGTATTGCTACCAGGAGCGTCCATGAGGCTAAAGTAGGCACATCTGAATATATTTGGAGCTTTTCAATAAGTTGCACTTATTTGTGAATTTGTGTTCTCTGTCTTCAATCTGTCAATCATGGATTAGAAAGATGGTTTAGTTCCTACGCAGAATTCTAAGATCTTCAATTATAACTTCTTGCTTTTTTTTTTTTTTTTTGGCACAAAGAATTGAGTATAATTGGTAACTCTCAGGATCTCTTACGGTTCTTGAAAGTGAGTTTCTGTTTGGTTTTATTGAGCTTACAAATTTTTGTATTCCAATTTATATGCCCCCAACAAGGACTTTTCTTTTGTAGTTATAAGTGGTATGAAAAATGTCAACTATAAAAAAAGTCCCTATTCCCTCTTCATCTTACTTTTAGTTCCCTACTTTTGATAGCTAATACATATGTTTACTGACTTGACAGCTATTAATGGTGCAGAATTCACAGCTGAGAATCATGGAATGTCCGCTGATGTAATCAACAAAGCATTTTTAGCAACTGAAGAGGAATTCCTTAATCTTGTAAAGAAGCAGTTTCAAATTAAGCCGCAGATAGCTTCTGTTGGTTCATGTTGTTTGGTAGGGGTAATATGTAATGGACTGCTATACATTGCAAATGCGGGAGATTCTCGAGTGGTTCTAGGAAGACTGGAAAAGGCTGTTAAAGAGGTCAAAGCTGTTCAGTTATCATCAGAGCACAATGCTAGTTTGGAGTCTGTGAGGGAGGAGTTGCACTCATTGCATCCCAATGATCCTCAGATTGTGGTCTTGAGGCACAATGTTTGGCGCGTGAAGGGTATTATACAGGTAATTTCTTGAGGATTTCTAATGTTAACTTGATTTGTTATGAACCATTTTTTAATTTTTTTTTCATTATTTAAATAGTCATTGATGCAAAACTTTTCGTTGCTTATGGTGAAAAATATCTTCGCATGTTAAGGTTCATGATGGAATGGTTCAGTCTAAATGTCTAATTACTGTGCTGCAATTGCTTGCTGAGAAAATCAAATTGTGATCAATGGCTTTGAACAGAATATTTTTGGTAATTGGTAGGAAGTTGTGTCATTTAAATGAGTCTTGTCTATAGTGATGTATTTCAGGATATATGCAATAATAGCTTTAACATGTTTCAGATCTCAAGATCCATTGGTGATGCCTATCTGAAGAAGGCAGAATTCAATCGAGCACCTCTGTTACAAAAGTTTAGGCTTCCAGAACCATTCAGTAAGCCAATCCTTCAAGCTGAACCAGCGATACTAGTCCAGAAACTCTACCCTGAAGATCAGTTTCTTATTTTTGCATCTGATGGCCTATGGGAGCACCTCAGCAATCAAGAGGCAGTCAACATGGTCAACAACTCACCACGTAACGTAAGATTTCTTTTGATGTTTTTTAGTTTGTGAATTGTTACATTTACTGTATTTTGATGGGTTGAATCAGACTTTTCCTCTTAAGAATAGCCATTTTAATCAGAAGTAGAAATAACCTGTCCTTTTATTTATTGGAATATGGAAATTTTTTGCCTTTTCCACTATCCTTTCTTTTCATCCAAACGTATGCTCTCCCCTATAACCCAGAAACCAGTTGCTCTTAAGATTTCCTTTCCTCTCCATGCTCATATATTGTGTTATAAGCAAAACTAGATGACATTTTTGTTATTGTTATATTATTTTCTAAGTTGCTTTTAGATAAACGTAACATAATCATATGCTCTGTGCAGGGTATTGCAAGGAAACTAGTAAAAGCTGCACTTAATGAAGCTGCAAAGAAAAGAGAAATGAGATACTCTGATTTGAAAAAAATTGATCGTGGAGTAAGGAGGCATTTTCACGATGATATAACAGTGATAGTTTTGTTTCTGGATTCTCATTTGATCAGCCGCAGCTCTGCACGTGGACCCCTGCTTTCAGTCCGTGGAGGTGGTGGAACCACTGGAATCACAAACACCTAGCGTAAGAGGCTCTAAACATCCATAATCCAATTCCATACTCTTCTTTTGAATTAATCACACTTTATTATTTTTTTTTTTCAATGTGTGTATAGCTACGCTGCTCAGGAACTGGTTTCCATAAAGGCATAAGAGATTTTATCCATAGATTGTTGTTACAATCCAGAGAAATCTTCCCAAGTTTTCTACGGTGATGGAAATGTTGTGCCTGAAAATTCTAAGATTATCATCTTTTTTTCGTTTGGCAGTTGGGAGTCTCTCTGGCAGTCTGCTTCTTCCTCATTTAGTTAAAGATAGATTATTTATGTTAGGACTAGGAAATTTATGATAAATTATTTCTTCATTTGCCTCTCTAAGGAATTGAATCTGGGTCAAAATGGTTAAAAAACAAACCTTTTTATCAACTATGTAATTCTAAGTTAAAGAAGTGAACTCTTGGGATTGGATTCTTGGGGGAAAAAAAAAAAAAAGAGAAAGAGGACTGCAAATTTATTAAGGGAAAACAGGAATTGTTATTGCAATATATATCAGAAACACCTGTTCGTATAATTGGTAAAATGCGTCAGGAAGATGCTTGGCTAGTTATTAGGCATCCAAATTAATAAAGAATCTCTCTTCGACGGTGAAAGCTGCAATAACAACTTAATTACATAATAAAATTGCTTCTATTGAGCTCAACATACTTTAAACATCCAGCATACTCCAAAGAATCTTGTTTCAAGATCTAAAACCTTAAGCATTCTTGTACATTAGATCGACCCTAAATTGCGGAGATATTAGGGTATGGTGACCCTTAAACAATGTAACTAAATGAACTTAGAGCTTTAGAAATGCAGGAGTTAGGAAAGTAGGGATCAAACTGCCTTCCCCATGATCTACTTGAAGTGATGAGGAGAGGTCCTGTACCAATGTGTGAATATTTTGGTTCCTAGAGAATCAAAAAGCACCAGGCCCACGGTAGACAAAATTCATGTGACTGGCATCTAGAAGCAAAGAAGCTGAACAGGCCAATGAGATTTACTTCAGCAGTACTTTCGATATCTTCCCCATATAGAGAGCTAAAGACCATACAGAAAGCCCTGCTGACATATAAAGCAAAATGACACCTGAAGCTGCTAAGACCCCAGGTCCCCCAAGACTGCAGACAGAAAAACACAGAGGGAAAAGAAAGAGAAATCATCATTCTCTTTCAGGATCCATGGCTTTGATAATAGCCAAATGACTCTGAAATAATAGTTCATAACAGTAGGACAACAAAATTTATTAAAAAAAAAAAAAAAAAAGAAGAAGAAGAAAAGAAAAGGAAGAAGAAGAAGAAGAAGAATAAAGAAGGAGAAGGTCAGCAGACCTGCTCTCTCTTGTAGCCAGGAGGATGGTCAATGCAGCCATCTGTGTTGCAGTTTTCCACTTCCCCAAGTTATTTACAGCAACAGCCTGCAGAGTGATATAGAACTATTAATATAAGCTAATGCCAGTCAAGCACTTTCTCATGATATATGTATATATAGATATATATATTCTCCGACAAAAAAGAGACTGGTCTGGTTAGAAGTGAAAGAGGAAGTTAAAAACATTAAGAGGATAGGGAACAAACCTCTAGAAGCTTAGCATTCTGAGATGCAGCCCATTCCCTGACAGCAGACATTGTTATCTACAAGTTGCAAAATATTCATAAGATCTCTGCATTTGGCACTTGATTATGAGCACAATTAAATGTAATCTTCATTCTTGCTGACAATAAGCCCATAACTATATTACTTAAAGACTTCATGAACAAAAGGAAGAGTATTAGCTAACGTGCAAGATAAAATCCCAAGTTTACTGTTTCAACCCCCATCAAGTATGTAAACACGTGCAAGAAATAAAAAATGAAAATAGGTAATAATGTATATTACCTCCCTACCAATTATGGCGATTGAGGGTACAGCCAGTAGCCATGGCACTTGTCCAAACATTGTGACTTCTAACGGCCTTGTGCATAATAAGACCAATGTGGTTGCAACCATAAGCTACAGTCGATGGGCAAGGAAAATCAGATAAACTGTGAGATGGTTCTAACAAGTTAAAGTAAGTACCTTTACTGATTAGAGAATATAAATAAATCAAAAAACTCAACAAGGATAAAGAACACACCTTGTCAGCTACGGGATCCAAAAATGCACCAAATGTAGTGCCTAACCTCATCTGGAAACAAACATTTTGCTTCAAATCATTTACATTGCAAACAGACTGGGAAAGAGAGGTGAAGGATAACCATACCTTTCGAGCAAGGTACCCATCAAGCCAATCGGTAATAGCAGCAGCAATAAAGATGCTAGTCGTAGCTGTCCTTCCCCACCAACTATCGACATAAAAGGCTATAGTAAAAACAATAATTTAGCTTGTTAGATAATCAAATGCAAGTCCTTAGCTACCATGATTTCACCCAGTAAAAGAGAAAAGGAGCCGAGTTACAGTTGCTGACTCAACTCACAACATACCACCAATACACAATTCATAGATTTATGCCACCATCCTAAGCATATGATTATCAAATTGCAGCATATCAAAACATTAGTGAACTTTTTCAACAGCAGCGAAGCCACAAAGAAAGAAAACTCAATACCCCAACTTGAACAAGATCAAGATCACAAAGAATAATTTCCATTCAAGTTACCAAGAGAAAGAACTGATCTAAACTTAAATCTTATGCAGACAAAAAGACAGAAATTAAATCTCAAATTGCATATTAGTAATGAAGATCTTCAAACTCCTACAATCAGGGATCCAATCCAATTCAGATAAGATAAGCACAATTCCAAAAGATACATACTGGTAATGAGAACCGGCACGGCGGCGACGCGACCAAGCGTTAAAATAGTTGGCAAAGTGAGAAACTTGGAAGAAGACTGCTTCTGTTGCTGCTGCGGCTGCTGCATTGGCGGCGACGGCTTGTTATCTGAGTCCATATCGGCCACAAGACCAGACCCGGACACGGGAAACCCTCCTTTCTCTCCGGAGGAACTGGAAGAGGAACACCGGAGGAGAGGAAACCAATGGTGCACAACTCTAAATCCAAGGTCTTTGTGAGAGTGGGGAAGGCTATCGTGCACCGGGGGTGCAATCATGTGGGTGAGGGAAGTGGTGGTTATGGTCCGGACCCATTTGCATGGGCTGGCGTAGATGGAGGCTGCGATGGTCAGTTTGAGACCGAACATGGGGTCGCTGTTGGGTCTCGTTAGCAGAGATTGAGGTTTTTCACTTTTTTGGGTTTGCAGGACTGATAAAAGGAGTGCAAATTTCGGAGTTGGTTTCACATGCCGTCGGCAGGTTCGGAGGAGTCGGAAAGTAAACAATTTGGGCTCCCAAGTCCCAACCAAGTTCCCACATCAAAGGCCTTAAAAATGGGAAAAAGGAAAAAGCTACATTTCCTTTAGGACATTATTAGAAAAGGCATTGGTTTTGGTAAGGGATAATTTTTATTTAATAAATTTTTTATATTAATTTTATACATTATTAAATAAATAATAT